GGGGCCAGAGCCAGGACCCAGCGAGCTGGCCCTGCGCCACCCGGGCTGGGGGAACGGCGGCAGCGGCCGGAGGCACACGCCCCGCTCCTGGCCCACGGGATGCTGGGCGGCTCGGCCACACGGAGCCACTGGGCTGCAGCCCAGCGTGCAGCGGCAGCTCTGAGCATTCAGCTCCGTCGCGGAGGACTGCCATCTTGGGCAGCGGGCAGCGCCCGCCGTGCTTCCAGGTGGCATCCAGCCCACGTGGGACGCGAGCGTGGCTGCCCAAGCCACGGCTGTGCTCTTGCAGGCTGGCTGGCCGCCTGGCAGGGAGGGCGCCCGGCACAGTCCCCGCTTCCCTTCGCCACCCGCCTTGGTGTTCGGCAAGGAGGCCGAGTGCCTGCTGGGCGGTTTTTTGCCAAATCCGGCCAGGTCAGAGGGAGGGAGGGAGGGCGGGCAGGGGAGGGGAGGGAGGGGGAGTGGCGCTGCTCAGCTGGGCCTATTTTAGTCCCCGTGTCTGGAACGGTTGCCTCCTTTTATCAGAGGCTGTGTGTTTTCTCTGGTGGGGATTGATACACAGAAGATGGAGTGTGCTGACATGGAAAGTGTCAGGCGAAGACGCTTATCGCGGAGACATGGTCTCCTGACCCAAGCGCAGCTGATTAGCCAGCAAGAAGCGGGGGGCGGGGGGGGGGCCGCTGGGCACGGCCCGAGTTTGTTTGCCAAGCTGGCCAGAACTTGCTGCCGAGCGCGCATTTGCCGGCGTGCGAGGGGGAGGGAGCCGAGGGACGAGCGGGGGGCTGGCGAGCACTTCCGGCCCCTCCCGGACGCAGGGGAGGCTGTCCCCCCAGCTCAGCCCCAGTGTTCGGCTTAGGACTGCCCGAGGCGTGCACCGTGGTGGCCAGGAAACGTGCCTCTCGCTTGCCAAGGCACGGGCCCTGCGAGCCACCCTCCCTGCTGACTCCAGGGCCGGAAGCGGCGCGACCGCGTGCACCGGCTTCCGGGGAACAGGATGGGCGGGTGCTTCGGCGCTCTTGTGCCCTTCCCACGGGCAGGCCCCTGGGAAGCGCATGCGGGCGACCAGGGCTTTTGCTGATTTGGCGTGGCCGCATCCGCTCCCTCTGGAGACTCTCTTGGATCCAAAGGCCCACGCTGAAATTCTGGGCACGCTCCAGGCTCTGATCTGAAGAGTGTTCGAGACCTGCAACGAGCACGTAAAACAGTGCTTCTGACATCATCGCAAAGGCCGGGGCCGGGGACCAGGGGCTCCACAGGTGTCACTCTGCCCAGGTCCAGCCGGCGTGGCCGATGCGAGGAGCGACGGGAGCCGCACACCATTCATGGCTGAGATCCCAGCTCCTCAGGCCTTCAGTGGGAGTTGGTCCCATTGCATGTCCCGGGAGCTGCTTACAGGATCTTGCTGTGGGGACCTGTTCAAACCCAGGACGGATCACCTGCAAATGCCAACCTGGGGCAGCAGTGGAGGGTGCGCAATTATAGGCACAGGGATGGAGGGGGAAGGTTCAGTCCGGCACTCGGTTTTGCAGGTGAATTGCAGGTGCCGTGCCGTAGTATGTGAATTGTGGGTGCAAAGGAGTGACCTGAATCTCACTTGTGAAAGGGCCCCAAGGCCTCCTCCGCTTCCCCCAAGAGCTGAGCGCCCTCTGGGATGCTGACCCCGCAGGAAGCGGCCACACAAATCAGTGTTGGGGGGAATGAATCTGCTCCCATCGTAGGCTGTCCTGCAGTTTTTCATCCGGGCTCCAGGTCTGTGCCTACCCCTAATTTCCCAAAACCCCCAGACAAGCCCGTGAATCCTTTCAGGGACTAATAAAACTCTAACTGTAAAAAAGAGGCAAATGCAGGTCTATTAAGGGCTGAAGGGCTCCCCCAGCAGTGGCATGGGCGTACATATTTTTTTATTTATGTTCCTGGCTGGCCACCCATCCGTATAACAGCGCAGCCCAATAAACACATTTCGATCAGGACAACGTGCTATAAAACCCCATAAATGATGCAGAGGTGACGAGGGGAGACGATCCAAATGCCTTGATTCATCCCTTGCAAGGCTGCGACAGATGCTGAGCTGGCCTGCTAAGATTTCAGGATCCCAAGTGGAGAATTCCGTCCCTAGATCTTAATTCCAAACCAAGTTTGGAAGCCCTGGCATGGGTCTGAGTTCCAAAGCAGTGCCCTGGAATAGGAGAACGTCCCTTGTGCATGTGCAGAGTGCGCCCACGTTGCACGGGGAATGTGAGGCCTGCCTTACTGGGCACGGGGGTCATTTCCTTGGAGGAAATGCCCCCCTCCTCCATGATACCCTGGGGGGCAACGCTTGTGCTCGTTTCTCGCTGGATGCGTGCAGCTGCACGCGGCTTTGGCCTGAGCGCATCCTCTTGGCCAGTGCCGCCCGTGCAGACGCTCGGGGGATTTCTCTCCACATTCTCCTCATCCCTTGCTTCTCCCATTGCATGTGGCTCCGATTTCTTAAGAAAACTGGCGCGGGGGAGAGCTTGGTCTGGGAGCCAAGATGCATTCCTTCTTCCTGGGTCTGCGGTGCCTGCCCTTCTCAGCCCTTCGCGCCAGTCGCCCAGAGAGGGAGCAGAGGCGCAGGGATCCACGGTCGCCAGCTGCCCTTCTCGCCTCGCAGCAGCCGGAAGCCAAGCGGGGAGGGGGGGTGCGCTGGACCCGAACAGGGCAGCAGCCCAGGTTCCCACACTGACCCGTGGCTGCTTTCGAGCGGCGAGAAGGAAAGGTGCTCTGGTCACGCCCCGTGCGCCCTCGTCCTGGCACCAGCCTGTTCGGAAGAATGCATGCCAAGGGCTGGAGGTTTTGCAGGCACACTGAAAGGTGAAGGGCAACTCCCGGGAAGGGGTCGCCGGGCCTTAAAGGGGCCAGCTTGCGTTTTCGGCTGCCCTGGCACACGCCCGGCCTCAACGCACTCTGCTGTTGGAGACTTGGCCTTCCTGCTGCTCGGCTAGCCAATACTGGGAGCAGAGCCTTTCCGTGTTGGCCCCCGTGTGGATGCTCCTGTTCAGGGGGTTCGATGAGGGCAGTGCAGGCACGCCAAAAGGCAGGTTGCAGACCTTATAAATGGCGCCACGCTGTCTCTGGGTCTGCCGAGCGTGTGGCTGCCCCCTCTTGGATTCAACACCAGTTTGCTGCCAGTTTAAAGTAGGAACCCCCATGTCCAGAAGCAGTGTGCCTCCAAACCCCAAGTGCTGGGGAGGGAGGGAGGGCAGATGATTTTGGGCCCAGCTTGCCGGCTCCCGGAGGTCAGCTGTTGGAAGAAACGGGCCGTGCGCAAGCGGATCTTTGGGCCCGATCCGGCAAGCCCTTCCTTCTGGAGCTGAGTCTTCTTCTGGCAGTGCAGCTTGGGGGCTGGACGTGTGCCTCCGGCTGCGCGGAGTCCCGGACCTCTCGCGGCCGGTCTCCCTGCCCTCCCCTCCGATAAGCATTTGCGAGCTCGGGAATCGTTGCCTCCCTGGTCATCCCCGTGCGTTTGATGTGTTTCTGATGAGGCAGGCAATCTGATTTCAAGGCCTGGCTTCCCACGCAGGAAGCCGGGCCTGGCCTCCCGGCCGTCTCTCCCCAGGGACACGGCGCTGTGGGGCTTGGTGGGGGCGCCGTTGCTCCACTCCCGGATGGACCCAGCCGGGTGCAGGCGGCCCTATTTAGCATCCATTGGAGTATTGCTTAGCTGCCGTCTTATCTGCGCGCTGAAAGATGAAGGTGCAGCTAAAACATTTTAGGCCGGTCTTCCCAGCCGATTTACATGTTATCGAAGCCATTAAACCGGGAAGTTTATCGGCCCATCAAGGCCATTACAGCTCAAAGCCGCCTCAGCCAAGGGGGCTAATGAAGCAAAATAGAGACTTCCCTTTGGATGGGGAAATAAATGCCAGGGAGCTCTGATCTGCCCCACTTCATCCCCCGACGGTCTAATGCGGCAACTCGATGCAGAGAGGGCAGCGTCCCCGAAACCACGAGGGCGTGTGGATGACGCCAGTGGTCCAACAGAGACGATTGCTTCCACAGGTCTCTGCCATTCTGTACGTGCCTGTCTTTTTCGCTTGCTGTTTTGGAGTTATAGGACCAAAGGCAGGACATGGGTCCACCTCTCCAGAGATTCATGCAGGGTTTTTCCAGCCCTGCCTCAGACCGAAGCACAGGCTTTACTACTCAGCTGCAGCCATTAGGCCTAAAAACCAAACAAGGTTCTAGTCCTCATGGTTCTGATGAGTGGGCTGCTTTAAAACAAATGAGGAAGCACAGCCAGAGTCAGAGCCAGGGACCTTTCTGTGTGCACGGTGTCCTCTCTCTCCTGAAGTAAAGTGAGCTACGTAACCTAAAAGTTCACCAGGCAGAATGGCAGAAATGTAGCTCATCGCCAGACTTGCAAAGACTAGAAGAGTGACTCAAATGCGGGAGAAGCTTAAAACAAAATCTGGTCTCTGAGCAAGATGGCATGATATCATTTCATCCACACTTCAGGGACTTGGGCAGCAAACTTCTTTCAAAGCCCTTTCTCAGATTTTGGGACAGAGATGAAGGAAGATTTGCCCTTAGGACGGGCCACAAAGAGAAGCTGTTTTTACACGGCAACTCAAAGCAAAGAGCTCATTAAATGTACTGCCCGCTGTCTGGAACTCTGCTTAAATCTATGTATGTATGTTTGTTTGTTTGTATTTAGAAAATACTTTTTAGTGCTAAGTTCTGAGCCCTGATCATGCGGGAAGCTTGCTCGCCCCGACATTATGAGCACAATTTATGTCCCATGGGCAGCTGAGCCCAATGGGAAGCTCAGGAGCAAGCAGGAGAGAGCGCACTCCAAAGAGGCGAGCAGCTCTGGGGCATGAGCGAAGGAGTTTTCTCTTAGGAGGCGGAGGCGTTCCCGCGGCTTCGACGAGCGATGCAGCCAGGGCGCTTCTGGGGGCCTGTCTCCCCGGCCAGGCAGAGCTGGGGCCGTGCCGGCCCTTCTGCGCCAACCTGCCCCTCACACCCCCCTTTCTCTCTTGCAGGCGAACTGGAGCTGATGGCGTCCGAGGGCGAGAGCAAGGTGCGTGCCCGGCACAGCCTGTCCGAGGGGTTATCCTGGGGCCCGTACCAGGGGAACATCCACAGCGAGCCGGCCTCTCCGGGACACGCGGAGCCGGTAAGGGTCGCAGCCGGGAGAGCAGCCGGGAGCTGAGGGAACGGGGCCCCTTTCCGTGAGCGCGGCTACCCAGGGCTTCTCGCAAAGCCCCAGTCCTCCCGAGCATCACACTCTCATGTGGGTGGGGGGGCGCAAGCCCTGGGAGCCGCGCATCCCCCCCCCCCGCCCGCATTCAGCCATGCGCCCTGCCCTTCTTCAGCCGGCCAGTTCTTTCCACGAGTCAGAGGAAACCAAAATTGGGATGTCGTTGCCTAGGAAGGGGATCGGGGGTGCATCCCTCTCACCCCGCCTCCCTTTGTACACCACGTTCTTGTCTGATTCCAATAAAAATATTGCAAAATCTCGTGAAACGAGTGATAACAATAATACAGCAGCTGAAACGCTGCCGAAAAGAGTTATGGGTGTGATTTATAACGAGGCGCAGAGAGTTCTGAAACGCCCTGGAATTCGAGGGGGGAGCACAGGCATGCGGCCTCCTCCCACAAGAGAACTCCGGCGATGGAGAGGAGTGGGTCCAGCCGCCCCTGCCCCCCGCTGCCCCCACCGAGAAGGGGGGGACTGCAGAGGGGGGCAGCGCTGCGTGCCTCCAGGCCCGTGGGGGGTGAGGGCTGGCCCAGGCCCAGATCCCTGCCCCTGGACCTGGAGGCTCCCCAACTCTTCCTGAGTGCTGTCCGAGGGAGCCTTGGCCGAGCGAGCACCGCTCCCCCCGCGGGGAAGGAGGGCGGGCGGGCGGAGGGGCCGGGTGGGACCTCGTCCAGCGCCTGCAGCGCCTGCCTGGAAGACGGGGACCGCGGCTCCTGGCCTCTCGTCTCCCTTCGCTTCGCACTCTCGCTCTCTTGTGTCTCTCAGCGCGAGCCTCCCGTTTATCGCTTTGCCGAATTAAATCCTTGATTAACCCTTATCTTGCCAGTTTGGCGGCTATCTCTCCTGTGGCGCCGTATGTCCAGACAACCGGTACAGGATGATTGATTTCTTAAAGATATGCTGCTGCTTTTTTCTGATACTTCATTTATTGTCTAAATATTTTTGCTCGCATTTCAGCAGTACTCCTTATCAAGCCGGGCTGATGATTCCCAGCCCTGCCTCTTCTTCCTCTCGTGCCCCCTCCCCGCTCTGCACCAGCAGCCGCCTCGCTCTCGTGCCACCTTCCCCCTTTCCTCTGCCTCGTGCCCAGAGGACCGCGGGAGGGGTGGCCGCGGGGGCCTCTCTTCCCGAGGCAGAGGGGGCAGAGAGGAGGGCTGGGGTGGGCAGAGTCAGAAGGCACCGCCGGTGTCCCTGCTTCATCTTCCTGACCCTGCCTGGGCCGGCAGAAACCCCGGGCACCAGATGCCCACGCAGACAGCCCGCCCCGGAGACGAGGCGCTGCCTCTTGCAGGCCCTTGGGACGCCCCCCGGTCGCCCGCTGGGGCTTCTCCAGGTGCATGGCCACGGAGCACTCGCCCAGCACCCCAGAGTGGCCGGGGCGACCCCCTGGCCTTCTGCTGCAGGTCGGAAGCCGGCTCTCCGGGGCTTGTGCTGGTGGTGCATGCCGGCTTGGCGGGGGATTCCTCTCCCGCCGGGGAGGAAGCTTCTTAGGCCGACAGGCTGGCTTGGGGCTTCCAGATTCCAGGGCCGCAGCTCCCGTGACTCGTGCCCTGGACCGCTGCTGCTGAGCAGGCGGGAGATCCACAGGTCGCCTCTCTGCAGGCTGCAGCGAGGCAGGTGGTGCCCCCGACTCCCGGAGAGCGTTTCAGCTCCGCCTCGCTCCCTGGCCGCAACGGCTCTGCTCTGCAGGAGGCCTCCTCCCTCGATCGGCCCTGGGGTGGTGCCCTGGGGTGCCTCTCCCCACGGAGGGACGCAGAAAGGTCTGTGGCCGGGGGCTGTTGCGTGCCACTTTCTGTGGGCCGATGCCAAGGGGCAGCATTCCCTTGACCTGTGGCTGCGGCCACGTGGGGCCCACGGCGGGAATCTGGGGAGAGTGAGCCGTGGAGCGGGGGCTGCTTCTCTTCTGGGGACACCCAGCAGCCCTGCTGACTGGAGATGTTGGGAGTTGTAGTCCGCCACAGGCCCTGATCCATGGGCTGCCTGCGTCCAAGCGCCGCCGCCCTCTTTCTCCAAACTCGGGGAGGCCTCTCCCGCTTCCGGCGTCCTGCCGAGCCAAGAGGCTCGCTGCCGTTCAGAAGCGCCGGCTGCAGGCTCGGTGCTCTTTGCCGCAGTCAAGACCCCCACCACCCCGGCACACCGTCCCTCAAACCGTCTCAGAGGGTAAGGATTAATGGGCGTGACAGTTCCCCCCCTTCCTTGTTTGGCAAAGAGGGTCCCGGCCGCCCCAGATAAAGTGCCCCGAGCGGATGCTGCTCAGATCCCGTTTCCGATGGTTATCGGGGCCGCCGTGGACTCAGACACTGCCCTCTTTGTTAAGGGCGGGACGGGGAGGGGTCCCGCCTCTCCGACGTGCCCACAGAGGGGCTGGCATGGGGATGGCCTGGGACGGAAACCATGCAGGGTTGCCCCGTGTGCCTCCCGCAGGCCCAGGAGCAGAGACGGAAAGCAGGGAGGCGGTGGGGGCCCAGCAGGCCTGGGGCGGCCGTTGCGGGGGTCCTTCTCAGAGAAAGCGCCCCTCTTCGGCTGGGGGCCCTTTGGAGGCTGGCAGGGGCAGGGGGACCCAGCCAGCCCCTTCTGGCACGGTGCTTTCGGCTGTTCAAGGCCAGCCGTGTCCCTTGCAGGACAGGCCCTGCCCAACATTTGGGAGACGGGGGGCAACTGGGAAAGAGGAGCTGGCACAGGGCTCCCGAAGACACACGTGGCCATTTTGCGGCGCTCGGGTCCCTCTCCTTGGTCGCAGGGACGGGACCTGTGTCCTGCCGGAGCCTCCCAGGAGACGTGGGTTTTCAAGATGGGGTTTGGCCGGAGGAGGCCTCCAGCCGGCGTGAGCACGGCAACCCGCCACTACCCCGCCGTCGCCTGCCGCCACGTGGCTTCGCCGAGGCGTGTGCGCTGTCGGCGTGGCCCTCCTCGCGAGTCCCTTTGCGGTGGGTGGGTGCGGGAGAGTCGGGCGCGTCCCACGCCAGCGGGCCAAGGTGCAGTTTCCGGACTCGGAAGCCGCGTCTTTCCGTCTGGGCTGCCCACGTTAGCTGCGGACACGGCTCCGAGCAGGGGGCCAAACGGCCGTGGCCCGTCACTTGCCTGCGCCTTTCTCCCTGAAGGCACCCGGGCCATCCCCAGAGAGGTCTGCCTGGTGCCGTCGTTATTTGTTTTTCGGCACCAGGCTAAGACCGTTTTCTGCAAACAATATTTTAGCAATGTTTAATATTTATAGGTTTTAATTGTGCAGCCAGGTGTGTTTCCGGGTTTTAAATGTATCTGTATTGTATTTATTTGTTTCTGTGAGCCGTCCCGAGGCTATATAGCAAGGGGACGGCATATAAAAACTTTAAATCAATCAATCACTCAATCTAGGAAGCAGGAGTGACGCTCCCACCGGTTCAGAGGCCGTATGAATCCTGTGCCGGAGGCCCAAAATGGAGAAGGGGCTTGGGGTCAGGACCGCTGGGAAGGGCAGGGAAGCGCTGCCCGTCAGACCTCATGAATGCACCTCATTTTGCATCGCTGAACCAGCATGCAAACCAAAAACATTATCTTTGGAATTCGCACTTCTACACGTTTTGCACAGGTGCCGTCTGGTTTTCAGAAATGCTTCTGCTGGCCTGTGTGCCCGCACTTGAGAAACAGGTGTGCGGTAGCGAGAATAATATTCAGAACTGCATAGGGGGGAACGGGCTTGCCAATGGTTCTGTTATGCAGAGCTGCAGATAAAAATGCATGTATTCAGACAAAACATATATGCAGACTCTAAAAAAAAAAACTCAACTCTGAGATAAGATTGGAAGATGAAAAACCAAGAGATAATAAAATGAACCGGAACATCCACTCCCAGTACTGATTTCTGCAGATGGCGTCAGTGAGGCTCGTGCGGTGAGCAAGTCATTGGCGGTTTGGATTGGGTCAGTACAATCTCCGATAAAAAATGTGGGTTTGGAGAACGGGTGTGTGCGTGCCAGTCATGATTCTACAAAGCGATGCACAGACAGAGAGATCTGCCTGGGATCTGAGAATGTCAGATAGCTCCCTTTAGAATTAAAAGCAAGCTTCTAGTCCATAAGACGGTGGAAAAAAATGTGCGAGAGCATCTGGCCAACCCTTGGACTCAGGGCGCCTATGCAGCTCGGAGTGAGCAAGAGGACTTCCAAAAACACCAGATGCATCTCCGCTTCTTAGGGTGTTCTCGTTCCGGCATGGACGAACGTGACTCGCAAGGAATGGGTTGGGGTGATGGTGATCCCAGCGCGCCAATTAGCACGTGGTCTTCTCTGCCCCCACCTGATTCCTCTGCAGCAGCATAACCCAGACTCCAGAAGCGCCTGCCTGTTCTTGCATGGACTCAGCAGCATCTTAGCCTCAAAAGCCTCTTTCCACTGAACAGTGGCAGCAGGGGTTGAAACGACTGTGCAGTGTTTGCCCTTCTCAGCTGGCTGCCCTCCAGTTCCTATCATCCCCAGCTGACAGGCATGCTTCCTCACAGTGAGAGGAGTTGCTGGCCGAATCAGCTGGAGGGTACCCAGTTGCCGAATACGGTCTAGAGGGAGATAAAGGTGAATGGACTGGCAGGATTTTTTGGGGGGGGGGGGTTATTTTAATGCAGCAGAAGGTGCTTCAGTCCAGGGAGGCATCCCAGCTTGGAGAGGACACCTGGGCACCTTTCTGCCGTGTGGACGCAGCTGCCCGGGGGCCTCTGGGCGGCCCAGCGTGCCGAGCGGCCCAGTCTGGGTGCTGCGCCAGCCCCTGAAGCAGAAGTGCTGAATCAGCAGATGGGAGGGAGCCCCCCCCCCCAAATCCCACCCACGTGGACATGGCTTGCCTGACACACTTCAGCACGGCTCCCCCTCTCTCCCCCCTCCCCCCCTCTGAAATTAGTGAAGCTATGTTTATTGCACCATCAGCAAAAGTGTGTGTGTGTGTGTGTGTGTGTGTGTGAAAGAGCGCGAGGGAGGAGTGTGCCGGTGCTTGTGCGTGTGTGCATACGTGTGCCTGTGTGTTTTTATCAAGCCGTGAGCACTCTGCTCCTTGGAGTGATAAGCCCTAAACCGACCAAGACTGACAGTCTGTGTTGGAGGGTTTAGAAATATTGGGACGAATAATTAGATTTCATATCGTTACAGCTGCAGCCATCGAAGGATCAGGCAGATTAATTTTCCCCCTCTTCCTCCCACCCTGCCGTGCATTAATATTCATTAGCAGCACATGAAGGCAGAGCAAAGCCGAGGCCGGGCACAGCGGACGGGGCGGGGGCCGAGGCCGCGGCAGGGAGCAGCTCCGGCCGCTCGCTGGAGCCAGGGGTCTTGCGCCCGGCTCCTCTCCCCCCCCACAAAAAGACCCCTCAGCAGGCACTGTGGGCGCTTTGCGGGCGCTGCCCTCTTTCCGCTCCATTTCGCCCCAAGTGGGATTAAGCCGGTGCAGAGGCGGCCCCCAAGGCTGCGAGTCTTCGCGAGCTCCGGTTGTGGGGGGGAAGGAGAGGGGCAAGAGCCGGCTGGTGCGGCCCGGATGCCCGCGTGGAGGGAGGCACGGGCAGGGAGACGCAAAGCAGAACGGGCAGGAAGCCTCGGTCTCTGTGGAACGCGAGCCCAGCGGGTCCTTCCGAAGGGCGTCCAACCTTTGTGTCGCCAGGCACAAGCCCTCCTCCTGCTCCGTTTCCTCTCCCGGCGCACACCACGCAGACACCCGGGCCGCCAGAGCCGGTCGGGCTGCCCCTTGGCCCCTGCGCCGCCAGGCCCTCCACTCCTCCGCAGCACAGGCGGGCTTTGCAGCGTCTGGCCCAGCACAGATCTCCGTCTGGCTGACCTTTGCCTTGGGAAGGCTCCCCGCGGAAGTGCGACCGGGTGGTGACGACGTGCCAGGACGGGGACCGAGGAGCTGGTGGCTCTGCACACCAACCCGAGTCTCCCAGACTCCCCTCCGGAGAGAGGGGCCTTCTGGGCAAAAGCCACAGCGTCCTGGGCCGGTGGGGCAGAGCTCTGTGCGGGGGGTCCCGCCTCTGCCCTGGCAGGAAGACCACCCTCGTGTGGGGCCTGCCCCACAGAGCCCCAGGAGCTGCTGGCTGCGGGTTGGGTGGGACGCCCTCTCGGAGGAGGGAGCGAGGGCCAGGCGTCGGAAGCAGGGGACTGGGAAGCCCTTTCCTGACTCCCCGGGAGCTTTGCTGCAGCGCCCCGTCGGCCACACGGGGACCGCTCAGGTGCCCCCGGCAGCTTCGGCTTCCCTCGGCATCCCGTTGGAAGCGGGCGTAGGGTGGGTGCCGGGGGACGCACTCCATCCAGATCGGGCCCTTGTGGTCTCGGTGTGTCGGGGGCCCGTCCTGGGAGGCTCACGGGCTGCTTGGGCTGGGACACCTGTGCCCGTTTCCTGCACGTGCATGCCGCCCCCCGGCCGGTCTCTTGCCCGGCACACGGCCTCCCGGGCTGCAGACCCAGGACGGAGAGCAGTCCGGCACTGGAGCGATCCCCTGCAGCCGAGCGCCAGCCGGAGGCCCCGCGTGCCGGCAGCTCCTCCCCGTGGGGCTCGGGGTGGCCGGCCGCCGTGCGCCCAGGCCGTCCTCTCCACGGCCCGGGGTCCTCAGCCGGCCCTGCCCGCTCGCCCCATCTCGGCCGACCATCTGCGTCTGTGTCAGCAGCACGGAGGCGGCTCGCCAGCCCAGGAACTGAGCCACTTCCTATTGTCTCGCGGCAGCGATGCGCTGCGCGGCTGCCCGGCCCCGCTCCCCTCGGGCTCTTCCTCCCCCCGCCTGCCTGGGGTTAGGGGTGAAGTTGCTGCTTCCTCCACAGCCGCGATGGCCGCCCCCCAGGTTAAGGAGAAGAGGAAATAACAAGCTTGTTGTGTTCGCAGCCCTGCTCTGCCGGCCGGTGGCCGGGTGCGGGCGGCAGGCGGCGGGGTCAGGGTCCTCGAGAGGCGGCTGCTTTCCAGCAAAGCTGCATGCCCAGCTGTGTGGCCACGCTGCAACAGAGAGTTGCAGCCCCTGTGGCCGCCTCAGGCCGCAGCAGCCTTTCCCGTCCCTGCGCCTGCCTGCACACACGTGTGGCCAGCTGGGCTGGGCTGCCGGGCTGGGAGGCCGGGCAGCGGGGGGTCTGCAGCCCCCGCAAGCAGAGGCAGGACCACCGACAGGTCCCGTAAGCCCGGACGGGCATGCCTGGGACTTGGCAGTCCAGAGGGTGGCGGGGCAGCCTGCCTCTTACTGCGAAAAAGAACCTGATCAGGGTGCCGTTCACGTGGAGGGTGGCCACCGAAGCTCCTGCCACGGCAAACGGGGGCCTTTAATCCGCCCCGCGTCAGCTTTGCTGAGAGCAAGCAGCATGGAGACCCCGCTGGAGGTTTTCCCTCCTCGGCCAGGAGAGCCGAAAGGTGGGGAAAGCCCCAGGGTGCTTTTTGCGGCATCCCAGCAGGCTGAACCAGCGGGGCGCTCAGAGCCCGGACGGTGGACCCGTACAAAAGCGCACGCGGGCACTCCGGGGCCCCTCGCTCTGCCCGCCGGCTCCCGGCCCAGGCTGCCTCCCAGGAAGAGGGCGCGTCCGACCTCTCTCTTTCCCTCGCCAGCCAAACCCGCCGGTGACCCTGGTGCTGGAGGACGAGCAGGGCTGGCTGTCGAAGCTGCCGCTGGTGTGTGCGGAAGGGGAGGCCAATTCGGTGATCTACAAGAAAGGTCAGTGTCCCGGCCGGCGGCCCCTCTGCCTCTCCTCCAAAAACTCCAATCAATAAGTTTTCAATTACTGGTCTGCTGCAGAAGAGTCGTGGGGTCTTCCTAGGCCGAGTCATGTCCTACCCAAATTATTCTTCCGTGGGTCCATTTTCCCAGTGGGGGCCGTCCCTCCTTTTCTGCCTTGCCGGTCGGGAAGAAGGGGGGGGGTGGCCAGGAATGGGGCAGGCCCTCACAGGTGCCTAGGCTAAGAAATCGGTCACCTAGCGAAAAGGTGGATTCTGGGTTTTGGGAATGGCCGAGCCGATGCTGCCCCCCCCCGGGCAGCCACGTGCACTGCAGGTGCCAAGCTCGCCCCAGCATTTACGCCTTTCTGTCTAGACCACCCGGCAGCCCAAGCTCCGTGTTACCCTCACAACAGCCTTGTGAGGTAGGTCAGGGGGAAGATTACGGGTGCAACCCAACACATGTTTTGACGGAATCCCGGGTGTGGATGCTGGGTGCTGGGGACTTTGTTCTGTCTCAGCATGTGGAGGGATGCACGCTGAACTGCTTTCTCAAACTCAGCAGAAAACGATGCATCAAAACTGCTCCATATTAAAACGATGCATTAAAACTCACCATATTTACCTCAGTTCTCTTGCCTTCAAGTTACTCCTCATTGCTTCCTGTTTCCCTCCGAGCCCCTGGGGCAAGGTTCCCACCCAGAGAACTGAGGCTGACGTGTTAGAGCTTTTCCAGAGCCATTCAGGGAAAATCTGGGTCTGGGCTGGCTTTGGAGTAGAGTTCAGCGCTCGGAGGCAGCTCTGATGCACTCGGCTGGGGACCTTCGGGGTGCTGGGTCGGGACAGGCGACGTTCTGCCTCCGCATCAACACCTTCTCTTCCCTCCTTCCCCTGCCCTCAGATGATTCAATCTTTTGCAAAACCACCAAGCCCATCCCTGAAGGAGAGCCGCTGAGCGCGTTCGTCATGGCGGAGCCGATGGGGATCCCCAACCACGCGGTGAAGACGGAGGCCGGGGGCGCTGCTTACCCAGCCGTTCTGCCCCCCGAAATCCAGCTCCTGCCGCAGCAGGCAGGGATGGCGGCCATCTTGGCCACGGCTGTTGTAAACAGTGAGTATCTGCCACATGCTCAGGATTTCCGCTGGACAAGGTCAGACTTAGGCAGATGTTTGGCTCTCCTGAAACTGAACGGACTCGTGGTCCCTCCGTGTACAGAGTTTCGCAACCGGTTGCTCCAACCAGGGCTTAGGTCAGGCGCAGGATTGCTCTCCTCAGGTGAAACACTTGGCAGAAATCACCAGAGTCCAACCACCCAGCCTGCCTTCTACTCACCGCTGGATTATAAACTCTAATCGATTGGTATTGTTTTGTAAAGTGGGATTAGCCCTTCCCTGCCTCCAGCACCAGCTTCCAGAAATCCCCACAGACCAAAGCTTTTCGCGCTCATTTTTAGCAGCTGCACTGAGAAGGGGGACCCTGGCACCCCCTCCCCCCCGTGCACCATGTCCCCTGCCCAGTTGGGCTGGTGTGCGTCCGTTGCAGACCTTGTTTAAAAAGATGGACGCAGAGGCCCCGGCTGCATGCCGCACAACGCTCGTGGCGCGCCGACTGAGCCCGTGCGGGCGCCGAGCCCGCTTCTGAGGGCGGCCGTGGGCCCCGGGCTGGGGCCGCCAGAGCAACCGGCAAACGGCCGCGTCTCGCTTCCCCTCCAGAGGACGTGTTCCCCTGCAAGGACTGCGGCATCTGGTACCGGAGCGAGCGCAACCTGCAGGCGCACCTGATGTACTACTGCGCCAGCCGCCAGAGCGCCGCTTCGCCCACGGTGGACGACAAGCCCAAGGACGTGTACCCCAACGAGCGCGTCTGCCCCTTCCCGCAGTGCAAGAAGAGCTGCCCCAGCGCCAGCTCCCTGGAGATCCACATGCGCAGTCACAGCGGTACGCGCGGGGGGGCGGGGGGGCTCGGCCAGGGGCGCGCACTCGGCCCCGGGGGTGCAGGCACCGTCTGTGCGCGTCTCCTCTGTGAAGCCCTTTTCGTTCTCCCCTTAGTTTAACCGTCCGTTGGCCTTAGCTTTGATTTCGTTGTTCATGGTTGGATACAGTGTGTTGCCTGTTGTTTGCTGTCTGTGGGTGTTTTGCTTTTCGCTGTTGGCTGTTTGCTTGTAAGCCATCCAGAGGCTTCAGGATAGGACTGCAGAGAAACACTTTCCATTTTCGAAACTTTAAATGAGTGTTCGCCCAGGGTCGCCGCAGGTGTGAGAGCCCCGCTCTTGCGCACCTGCAAAGCCCGCCGCACACATGCGCGGCGGCCGGACCCGCGTGTCTCCACCCGCGGTGGGTCCCGCTGCGCTCAGTGGGCTTCGCCGCCCCCGGGTGTGGACAGCGTGGCTGCCCATCTCGCAGGGAAGGACGCCCACCGGGGGGGGCCCCGAGCACCGTGGGCTGGGCTCGCGTCCGGGGCAGGGGGCTCGCTGCGCCCGCTCACGCGGCCGCCGGCCTCCGGGCTTCTCTTCCAGGGGAGCGGCCGTTCGTCTGCCTCATCTGCCTCTCCGCCTTCACCACAAAAGCCAACTGCGAGCGCCACCTGAAGGTCCACACGGACACGCTCAGCGGTGAGTGCGCGACGGCCCCTGGGTGGGTTTTTGCCGAGGGCGCGTGCTCCGGGCACCCAGGAACGGCCGGCATGGGACCTGGAGGTGCTGAGGAGCTGGGCTGAGCACCATGCGGCTCTGCTCCTCGGCGGGGCTGGGACGGGCATCTCCCCCGCCTCGCGCCACTTCCGCTTGCCCCCTGAGCCGAGCAGCCCTTCATTTCCGCATCGCTTCCCTCGCACCTCCCTCTGCACCAAACACGGCACTTCGGGGGGTTTGCAGAGCCCTCGAAAGGTTCGCGGCCTCCCGGGAGCTGCATCGACAGCGGGGAGAGCTTGCGGCTGAAAGGGGCCCGTCTTTGTGGCCCCACACGCCGCGGGAAGACTCCTCTCGTGAGAGCTTTCCTGCCATGCAATGCGACCCTCGAGGGGAGAGGGGTCCCCTGCCCCCTGGGTTCAGACCGCGCCCCCCACGTCCGGTGTGTGCGTGGAGGCGCCGCCGCCTGCAAGGCCCACCTGGGCCGTGGCTCCCCTCCGAGGCACCTGAGCCCCGTCCCGCCGTCCCCCCTGAGAAGGGCTCTTTGGGGGCTGGGAGCGAACGCCTCGGCAAGAGCCGCTCCCCATCCGAGCCGGCGGTCCAGGCCGGAAGGGCCGGTGGAGGCCGCTCACGCCTCGCCGTTTCTCCCCCGGCGCCCGCAGGTGTCTGCCACAGCTGCGGCTTCATCTCCACCACCAGGGACATCCTCTACAGCCACCTGGTCACCAACCACATGATCTGCCAGCCCGGGTCCAAGGGCGAGGTCTACTCTCCAGCGGGGCCAGTGCCCCCCACGGCCTCCAAGCCAGGTGAGTCGTGGACGCCAGAGCTCCGCGTGCTGCGGCGCCTCCGTGGCCTGCTGCCGGGCCCAGGTTCAAATCCCCCCCGCTCGGTAGTGGAAGGAGCGTTCAGCAGAGAAGGGGGCTCCCCGCTTTGCTGCTTCGCACCCTACAAGGGCTGTGAGACGGGCACTGGGGAGAACAGTTTCCCAGTGCTGCCGAGAGAGCTCAAGGGTGCTGGGAAATTACATTTCCCAGGGCCCCCGCTGTTCTACGCTGGCCCTGTGGCAAATGGGAACCAGGTTGGAGACACGGGGAAGGAAGGACTGAAATTCTACGCTCGATCAGACTTGAGTCTGAAGCATAGAATTGGGGGCTGCCGGAAGGACCACCCCAAATGCAGAAGAAGCGTTGCAAACTGCAGAGCTGGGCCTTTCGGAGTCGGCCACGCAAAGGGTGGAGGTTTGGCCCCGGGCCTCGGTCTGACCCCCGAGGAGAAGTGGCCCCTGCAGAGGGGCTGCCGGGAGCAGCGCTGGGCGGGAAGGGACTCACGGGTGCCTCCTCTCTCCCCAGGATTAAGCACGCCCGGCCCAGCCCCGGGGCTCAAGTGCAGCTTCTGTGGCCACGTGGCTGACGGCTTGCCGGCCCTCCAGCAGCACGTGCTCCTGCACAGCGCCGCCGCCGCTCTCCTGCCGGGCACGGAGCCCAAAGCGGCCCACGGCCCGCCGGACGCACCGCCCAGGCCGACGGCGCAGGGGGGCAGGGGGCTCCCCACGGAGGAAGCGGCCAACGGCTCCCCTCCCCCCGAAGGCCGTCCTCCCCCCCCGTCGGCCGACGGGGCGCCCCCCGTGCGGATCAAGGAGGAGCCCGTCGACGAGGGGGAAGCGGCCAGGGGCGCCCCCACGGCCGGCCCCGAGCCGGAGCCGGAGGCCTCCTCAGGGTCGTCCTCCCCCCACAGCCTGCCCTCCGTGAAGGTGAAGTCCGAGATCGCCAGCCCCACGCCCGGCTCCAGCCCGGTGCCCAGCGAGACGGGCTCCGGCGCGCCCGGCGGCACCGTCTTCCTGCCTCAGTACGTGTTCGGCCACGAGGCCGCGGTGGTGCCGCAGGCCTCCGAGATCCTGGCCAAGATGTCGGAGCTGGTGCACAGCCGGCTGAAGCAGGGCCAGGGCGGGCTGCCCCCCGCCCTCTTCCCCGGCCCCCCGGTGCCCAAGGGCGCCACCTGCTTCGAGTGCGAGATCACCTTCAACAACATCAACAACTACTACGTCCACAAGCGGATGTACTGCTCCAGCCGCCGCCTGGCCGAGGAGAGCCCGCCCGGCCCGCGCCGGCCCAAGGCCACCCCCTCCGCCGCGCCCAAGGGCCCCGCGGCCCCCGGGCTGCTCCCGGCGGCCCCGGGCGAGGGCAAGGAGGGCCCGGACCCCGAGGCCGGTGGGGCGCCCTCCCCGCCGGCCCCCGAGGCCAAGCCGGAGGCCAAGCCCGAGGAGGGCGCCGCCAAGGCCAGCCCCCCGCCCCCCGTGGCCGACGGCGCGGGCCGCGGCAGCGAGGACAGCCGCAGCCCCGGGGGCAGCTCCGCGGAGGACCCGGACGACGACCCCAGCCGCACCGTCTGCGAGGCCTGCAGCATCCGCTTCAGCCGCCACGAGACGTTCACGGTGCACAAGCGCTACTACTGCGCCTCGCGGCACGACCCGCCCCTGCGCCGGGGCGGCCCCGGGGCCGGCCGGGCGCCCTTCCTGCCCCAGCCCGTGCGCACCCGCAAGCGGCGCAAGCTCTACGAGATCCACGGCGCCCCGGAGGCCGCGCGCGCCGAGGGGCCGCCCGGGGCGCCGGCGCTCCTGCCCGTGGGCAAGGCGGCCCCCTCGCCCGGCTCGAGCCCCGACGCGGACGGCCCCATCGACCTGAGCAAGAAGCCCCGGCCCCCGGGCGCGGGGGGCGCGCTGCCGGCCTCGCTGCTGCCGCTGGCGGACTACCACGAGTGCACGGCCTGCCGCATCAGCTTCCACGGCCTGGACAGCTACCTGGTGCACAAGAAGTACTACTGCCCCACCGCCCCGCTGCAGGCCGGCGCCCTGGAGCAGCTGCGGAAGCTGAAGGGGGCCGTGCCCGTGCCCGTGCCGCTGAAGCCGCGGGGCAGCCCCGAGGGGCCGGCAGAGGAGCCGGGGCCGGTGCCGGGGCTGCTCCACGCGGAGAAGGCGGCGCCCGCCACGGCCCCCTCCGCCACCGCCTTCCCCGGGGCAGAGCCCGGCCAGCCACACTACGGGGACGCCAAAGCCCCGCTCCTCGCGGGGGCCAAGGGGGCCCTCGGCGTGTGCCCCTACTGCCCGCTGAACGGCGCCATCAAGGGGGACCTGGCGGATCACCTCCGCAACGCCCACGGCCTCTTCGTCGCCAAAGCGGGGGCGGGCCCCGCCCCGATCGAGCCCCCCCGGACGCTGGCGGAGAGCCCCCTGCTCCCGCCGCTGCCCGCCGCCTCCCCGCCGCGGCCCCTCCCCCGGCTGCGCAAGGACAGCTCCGGCGGAAAGGACCTCCCCGCCCCGCCGGTCTCGAACGGCAGCCCGCACCCCACCGCCTCCCCGCAGCCCCTGCTGCCCGTCTCCCCGCCCGCCCCCTTGCCCCCCTCCCCGCGGCCCGAGGCGGCCCCCGGCGCCCCCCCCGGGCACACGGACAAGAGCGCGCAGACTCCCCCGGGCAAGGGGCCCCCCGCCCCGCTCGCCAACGGCAGCCACCGCTACTGCCGCCTCTGCAACATCCAGTTCAGCAGCCTCTCCACCTTCATCGCCCACAAGAAGTACTACTGCTCCTCCCACGCCGCCGAGCACGTGAAGTAGGCGCCGCCGAGCAGCCGTGGCCGCGCTCGTCCCCCGCCCGCCTCGCGGGGGCGCCGCTGGGGGACCGCCCGGAGGACCTCGCCCCCCGCCGGCCCGCCCGGGGGCGAACGCGGGCCCCGCTCCGCCTCGCCGGGGTTCGCGGAGGCAGCCTGCTCCTGGTGGCCGGCCTGGGGGTCCGCTCACCCGGGAGCCGAGCGAAGGACGCTTCGAGCGGGGCAGCCTCCGGGCCGCCTGGCCCCTCCGTTGCTGCTGGTCAGAGCCTGGTCCCTCCGTTGCTGCTGGTCAGAGCCTGGCGCCTCTGCATTTCTACTGTTCCCCTCAGCCCTCTGTTTCCTGCAGGCCTGGCCTTCCCTTCCCTTCCCTCCCTTATTTAAGAAGGTCAGAGGCCGCTGCTGCCTCTCTCCCCTCTTTTCAGTTCCCACGTTCCTCCCTCCTAAGTTCTGCTGCCTTTCCCCAGCCAAATGCTGCTGCTTTCAACGGCAAGATCTCCCCTTTGAAGGAGACATTTTGCGAAGCACACGACACTTCTGCGTCTTGGAGTCCCTTCCGAGGACCTCGTTTGCAGTCACTCCTTTCTGGCATCCGCCGCTGCTCTTGCTTCTGCCCCCAGGGACGCTCCCCCTTGCCCAGCCTCTGCAAGGACTGCCGACGGCAGTGTCGCCTCGACACGAGTGGCCCCCAAACTTTCTGGGCTGCCGCCCCTTTCCTCGGGGCAGCGGCCCTACTGCCCCCACACCCCGCTCCTCGCATCAGGGCCTTCTGCTCTGTTGCAGATTGAAAAAACCCATCGCAGCCCCGCCCCGATCTTCCCACCTCCCCCTTTGGGAATCCCCGCTCCCAACCATCCTTGCTGGTGAGGGATTCCCCAGCTACGGGGAAGCGCCGCCCCGCGTGTGCACAGAGCTTTCTTGGTGCGCCGTGTGGTCAGAAAGGAGCTCGGGTTCAGCGCAGCAGGGCAACCCCCCTCCCTGCCATCCGCTCACTGGGAATGTCGCTTTTCCGTGGGACAGACTCCGCAGGGAGCCGGAAGGTGCAAAGTCCAAGGATCCAGCTCGGCCTTGCTTACATCCCCCTGCACAGGCCGGCGAGGTGTGGGGCAGGCCCCGGTGGCTTTTGGGCCAGGCGGAAAGCCCTTGTCCGCGCACAGACCCCCATGTCCAGTCCCGGTCAGGAGAGGGGCCTCTGTTGGCAGGGGACCCCGAAGCTCGAGGGAATCCTTGGGCATCCTTCGAAAGGCTGGGGGGCTGTCCGTCCCTTTCGGGGGAGGGACCAGCTAGGCAGCCTGGCTCGCCTGAGGGGGCCCTCGCTGGGGAAGCTCTGCTCGGGGTGCGTCTCTCCCCCTCCCCCAAACTGCTGTCCGGTGGGTTTATGTAGAATCTTTGTGGACTGGAACTGAGATGCAAGCAAGACGGCACTGAAGAAGGAGAGGGCGGCTCTCCGCACGGGAAGCGTGTGTATACGTGTACAGAAATAAACGTCTACTGAACCTCGGGTCTCCGGCTCGTGTTCCACGGAGGGGGTCTTGCCCAGCAAGCCTTCCAGAGCCTGGCACGGCACGGATGCGCCAGCGCAGGCCTAGTGCACGCGGGCCGAAGGGCTTCACCGGGGAGGGGAGCCCGCTGCCTGCCTGCCTGCGCCCAGTACGATGCACCCCAAGGTCTGGGAGGGAGGGAAGCCCCATCCCTGTGCCAGCGAGGCTCTTGAGGCCCCGGCTGGAGGTGCCGCAGCTCCGGGCGCCGTTCCAAGGCAGCGCGTCGCCTGCGTGTGGCACCCGCCAAGTTTGGAAAGCGCGACAAGCGGGCCGTGGCCACAGGCGGCCCTGGGATGCTGCAGCGGGTGATGGAGGAGGGCATGAGAGCAAGGGGGCGGCGGGCTGCAGGTTTGCAGGGGGGTGGGGGACAGTGGCCCGGCCATGCAGGGGCCGCTCCAGCCGCAGGCGGGTCGCAAAGCCAGCCAGCGCTTGCCTGCTGGGAAGCAGCTGCATCGCAAGTTGGGGACGGAGGCGCCGACACGGCTAGGAAGCCGCAAGAGGACAGGACGTTGCGAAGGCTTTAAAACTGCCTTGCGCATTGTCCTCAGCCTGCTGGGAATGATAGGAGTTGTGGGCCAGCACATCTGCAAGCCATGAGGCTAGGGCAGTGGTGGCGAACCCGTGGCACATGTGCCACAGCGGGCACGCAGAGCCCTCTCTGTCGGCACGTGAGCCGAGCCGCCCCAGCATCGCCCCGCAGCCGAGCATCGGATCACAGCGCACATGGGGGCTGTTCGCATGCTCGGAAAGGAGTAGCGGTGCCAGGCGATAACGGCACGAGCCGTGACACATTAGATGTGACTCATCCGAGCTTTTACATGGCCTGTCAGTGTGCTGCTAAGGATATATATGTTTGCTTGGACTGGCTGTGAGTTGTTTTTTCTAAACTCAGTTTTCAGGTTTTATTGTAGTGTTGGCATTTGCGATAAATCGGTGGGTTTTGGGTTGCAGTTTGGGCACTCGGTCTCTAAAAGGTTCACCATCACAGTAGCAAAACGAGGTGTCCTGGCATCATTTTGATGGTTGGAATGTGTTTAGAATGGGCAGAAATGTTGAGCTGTGCAGAAAAAGCTGCTCTAGGAAGGCTTTTTCAAAATTCCTCCCCAGCAGTCGAGCATCGGATCACAGTGCACATGGGGGCCGAGCGTATGCTCGGAAAGGAGTAGCGGTGCCAGGCGATGACGGCACGAGCCCCGACTCATTAGCTGTGACACGTCCAGTCTTTTGCATGGCTGGTCAGTGCGCTGCCGAGGGTGGATGGATAGATATTTGCTCGGACTGGCTGTGGTCGTCTTTTCTAAACTAAAACCTCAGTTTTCAGGTTTTCTCGTAGTGTCGGCACTTTGCGCTGAATAAGCGGGGTTTGGGCTGCAGTCTGGGCACTCGGCCTGTAACAGGTTTGCCACCACTGGGCTGGGGAAAGCAGCTGTGGGTGCTGGGAAATCTGGAGTGGGGCTTTCCCATGAAAGTGAGCGCCTCCTCCTGCCCCCTGGGGCACCCATCCTGGCCGGGTTTGCCCCTTAGCCGCATCGCCTGCATTTTGCCCCTGTGGCCACACGGTGGCGCTGAAGCACTGCTGAGCCCTGCTAAGGGTCAGAGAAGCCCGCGTTCCGCCTCAGAAGCATGGGGGTGACGAGGGAAAGGAAAGAAAATCTCTGAGCACATGCAGAGTGCCTCGCAGTCACTGGCCACTCACCCATCCGGGGTCAGGAAGAATGGTTTCCCACTGAAGGGCACTGTTTCAGGAGACCGGGATTGGGCACATCCAAACGTTGCTTGGCTCTTGCTCCCATCAGCCCCAGGCATGGCAGAGGATGATGGAAGGGGCAATGCTGCACCCCTGAAAGGCTCTCTTCCGCTCCCGGCCTGAGGATTTAGCATCCCTGCCTGCAGAAAGGGCATGCCAAGCCGTGGGAGACTTAAGCGCTGGAGTGGCCAGTGCAGCAAATTCAGACCTCCTGGCTGGACAGTCGCGGGGACATCCGTAGTTCAAGGAGCTGCTGCCGAAGACGCGAAGGCCTCGCCGGCAAGGGATGGGAAGGGCTGCTGGGGAGCCACTTTCCGCCCTAAGCCCTCTCTGCCCAGCTTCCAGAAACCCTCCTCGGCCATGGACTCCACCGCACGCCACACAGGTAGCGGTCGAGCAAGGACACCTTTTCATAGTCAAGCTTTGAATAGCCCCACTTATTCCAGGCCTCTTCTGAAAGATATGCCCCCTCCCGGTCCCCCCCCCCCCCCCCACAAAAGGTGCGAGCTCTAAAAGGGAGTCAGACCCAGACAGGCACCTATTTAAATGAGGGAGGGGCAGCCTCTGTCAAGTCTCTCTGTATTCTGCCCCTGGCCTCTCCCGGCTTGAGTGGATTTGCAGGCCGGTTCCCACACTTCCCGTTGGGAAAAGAACTGTGGGAGCAGAGAGGGGGAACCTGCACAAAGAACTCGGGCCGGCCCGTTTGCCCTTCCTGCCCCCGGTTCGAGTCCTCTCCTTCGAGAGGGAACCTGGAGGAGGTGGCTGGGCCAAAGGTGCGACCGGCAGCTTTAAAAATAGCCGGCACACAAGCCGACACACCTGTCACATCCATGCGCTAAATTCATCCGAATGATCCAGCTGGAGGGAAATCCATGAGGGACGAGAGAACTTTGGCGGGCTGAAGATCCTGACTGAAACAAAGCCCGAGCTGACGGCCCGGCTCCCCTGCGCGTGTCTCGTGGGAGCCCGTGATTCAGCCATGAGCGCTGCGGAGGGGGACTCTGGATGTGGCCGGACGACTCGAGCGGCTGCCGCATCCTTGGGCCCCAGCCGGCAAGGGAGAGCCTGCGGGAATCGCTGTGCCCGCCGAGCAAGCTGCCTCCGCCACCGGGAAGGTCCCACAGGCGAACCGGCTCCTTGCGGAGCAGCGGCGTGGCACTCCGTGGCCGGTGGCAGCGCACCGCTTGCTCCGCCGTCCCAAGGGGCCCCCCCATCTGGGCCCGAAGGAGCCATGGGAGTTTGGTGCTCCAGGCTTTCTGTGCCACGGCCGCCGGGGCAGGGGGAGGCGTGGGGCAGAGGAGCCGCCTTCTGCGAGCCTTTGGCCACGAGCCCAAGCGTCCCAGCCCGGGGGATGCCGCGTCGCCAGCCTCCTCCGGGCAGGAGGGCACTCTCCCCGGGGCAGTCCTCGCCAGCCCATGCCGTGGCAGTGGCTGCAGACACAGGCCAGGGGCCTTCAGGAAGCACGAGCGGTTCCTCATGGCGGGTTGGGGGGGGGATTACAGCAGGCCCACAGCAGCGCCCCGAAGGCCTCTGCCTGCCAGCCTCTCCCGGGCGGAGCGAGTCCCGGCCTGCCCCCCTTCAGCGACCAGTCCAAGGCCCTGACGGGCTCGGCTCAGCCAGACGTGCCCCGACCGACCGTGCAAGTCCCGCGCCCTCAGCTCAGCTCCCTTGCTGGCTTAGCCGGCAGCCAGGAGACGGGCCTGCAGAGCAGGGCACCCTGCGCTAGATCCACCCCGCCAGGCGCCCCCTGGGGGCATCGCCGCCCGCCCAGCCCTCTCGCTGGCGGAGGAGGGCTGCGGAAACGCAGCGCCAGCGTGGCTTTGGCTGTTTGCCCAAGGCTATCCCAGAACTAATTATTATTAATGAGCCTTTCTGGAGAGCTAACGCGTGTTGCCAAGAGCGTGCGATCTTGCCACTGGCAGCCAGTCTCTGCTTTCTTCCCAGCTGGCTGACGGGCACGGGGACGCAGGTGGGCGAGCGGGTGGCTGGCAGCAGAAAGGAACCGTGGCATGTGAGGCCGCTCTGAACAGGCTCAGCTGGGCCGGGGATGATTGGGCTCCGTTCGGCTGTCTCCGCTCTGAAGTTCCAGGGCGACCGAATCATCCGTGCCCAATGGCTGCCATTCGCTTGCAGAGCTGCCTAATGGGACATGTTGCTCTCCCTGGGTGCATAGCAAGGACGTTTAATGAGGACTAGCAACCCCCAGGCACCCTTCAACTACCCTGTTTGCTGTCAGTCAGAGTGGTTGCAATGTGGAGAATGGGTATAGTTTAGTCTTTGGGTTCCTGATGTTTTGAAACCTGTTGTCCTGTTTTAAAATGTGTTTATGGGTGACCAAGATGTTCAGGGCTTGGGAAACAAAACACGGCGAGGAGAGATCTCCACATGGTTAGTGGCTCCAGCTTTGGTTTTATTGCATGCTTTCAAAATTTTAAAATGAGATATCATGCTTTATTGTGCTGTAGGTTTTGTGCTTAATTATTGGAGCCAAGTCAATACCATTGATTCAATATCAATGAATCTGCTTGGTACAAACTTACAGGTGATGTGAGGACATGGCTGGGTGAGAATTTCATTTCATGTCATTTTGGGTGCAGTAAGAATTTGCCATGATTTGCAAAGTTCTCCACTTTGAGGCCAAAAGAGATTAAAAGGGAAAACAACTGAATGTGGCTGAAATGGGGACCAGAAGCATTCTCCATCTTGGAGGCTTTTCTGCGACAATTCTGCCTTTCCGCTCCTTTGCGCTGTGTTTCCGTTCATCGTCGTTAAGAACTTATCCAAATTCACAACGTGGCGAGAGATTTTTTTAAAATGTTGACTGTCTGTCCCAAGGCAGTGTTATTGCTGGAGCAAAGTCAGGCCAAGTGCAGTTTATTTATTCCCGCTTAGACAGAAAAGTCCCATGGCTCCTGGCATCCCCGCCCAAGGGATGCTCAAGGCAATTTGCAATAAAACGCTCAACAGACTAACATCCGGTGGTGCCAAATGAAACTGGTCATGTGCGTAATGACGAAAGCAGCAGGATCTCCTAAAATCATTTTAGGAGCAGCGTCCTTCTTGCCAGTTACCAGCACTCTGTGAAGGCGCCTTTCGAGAGGGGTTTTTTTTATAATAAGTTTTATTTGAAATTATGATCCTAAAAAAAACCAAGAAAAACTACAAAAACAACATCAATTATCCATCATCAAAAAGGGTTTGCTGAGGGTTGAA